CTATCATTAAATATCCCTGTGTGGCTAAAATGTTTGGCTACTGTGACACTGTCATCTCAGCTACTCTGAGAATGGTGTGTGTAAGCAACCAGACAGCATGAACAAAATTTTTTGCAGGTGAATCATTTAGGTAGTAAATTGCAGATGCAGTCTCACAAACCTGATCAACAGTTTTCATCACATTTCACTGGGGTGTAACGGCTGACTCAGTAAATTAATAAACCTCTTTTTCTACATTAGCAACATCATAGACTGCTGTCACAGCACCTCAGAAGTAGATGGAACAAATATTTGTTTGTTGGATGATCAGTTATTTAAAGTGCTCCAGAGGTACCTGAATGCATCAGCTTTGTATCTGTTACTGTTCAGGCAACGGCTTTTTGAGAACCTGCGGATGCTGCCTCACGCTCCTGGAGTTCAGATGCAGGCCATTCCAGAGGACGCCGTCCCAGACGACACCGTTGACGAGGATACAGAGGATCCCGATAAACGCTTGTCCAGTAAGACATCCCTCCATTTCCCCACATCCTTTTGATACATACTCTAAAAATGGGTCGGTATATCTACAGTTATTGCTGTCATATGCATGTCAGTCTCTTGTTATAACAAAGACTGGTTTTTGCTTACTCTTAAAATAGATGAGTGACATTTTACTCCTAATTGCATTCCCCAAAGAACTGTACCACCAACACTGAGAACCCCAGTAATAGAACTGATTCCACATACAGAATATTAGCTTGTTTGTTTAACACTATCAGTAGGTTTATCAGAACTGAGGCTCAAGAAATTGTATCATCACATCAATATCAATCTTCTACTTTCGGCTGTTCCCGTTAGGGTTCGCCACAGCGAATCATCTGTTTCCACCTAACTCTATCCTTGGCATCCTCTACTCTCACCCCAATTAACTTCATGTCCTCTTTTAGCACATCCATATATCTCCTCTTTGGCCTTCCTCTTGACCTCTTGCCTGGCAGCTCCATCTCCAACATCCTTCTACCAATATAACCACTATCCCTCCTCTGCACATGTCCAAATCATCTCAGTCTGGCCTCTCTGACCTTGTCCCCAAAACAGTCGACCTGAGCTGTTCCTCTGATGTGCTCATTCCTAATCCTGTCCATCCTGGTCACTCCTAAAGAGAACCTCAACATCCTCATCTCTGCTACCTCCATCTCTGCCTCTTGTCTTTTCCTCACTGCTACAGCATAGCTGGTCTCACTACTGTCTTGTACACCTTTCCTTTGATTCTTGCTGCCACTCTTCTGTCACACAACACTCCTGACACCTTTCTCCACCCACTCCAACCCGCTTTCACCTCTTTCCTACACTCCCCATCACACTGGACTGTTGACCCCAAACTTAAACTCCTGCACCTTCTTGACCTCAGCCCCCTTTAACCTCACTACTCTTATTTCCCTCTATTCTGTCTTACTACAACTACATAGAGCTCTGCTGAACTCTATGCCCAAGAGGGTTAAGGCAGTGCTGGAAAATAATGGTGGCCACACAAAATATTGACACTTTGGGCCCCATTTGGCCATTATCACTTAGGGGTGTACTCACTTTTGTTGCCAGCAGTTTAGACATTAATGGCTGTGTGTTGCGTTATTTTGAGGGGAAAGCACATTTACACTGTTACACAAGCTGTATACTCACTACTTTACTTTGTAGCCAAGTGTCATTTCTTCAGTGTTGTCACATGAAAAGATATACTTAAATATTTAGAAAATGTGAGGGGGTGTAATGTGATGGAAAACTGTCCTTATTAATATATTGCCTTATTAAAATACTGATTGTTACTATGCAGGTTTTTTTATATAGTTATTTGTGTGCTTGTGAAACCAGACAAACTTCTGTGTCAAAGTGTCTTCAGTGAAAAGCACGTCCTTGTATGGATGCTGAACCAGACAGCTTCTTTCCTGTGTGACAGACATTTCCTTAAACCTACATACTGTATGACCTTAACAGACTAAAACTACAAGCAACACTCATATCTATGTATAAAAGGAAGTGAAGCTCTCTGCTCAGAGAGCTTCTCCTTCACACTGTAGTGTTTGACGCTTCTGTGAGAGTTCTCGCCTTCCTGCAGGAATAAATGCGCATCAACCTCCAGAATTGGTATAAAGTTTCATTTTGCATTTACCGAATCCTGATAAGACAATTTTTGCCATAACATGTTCTCACTTCTGTGATATACTGTACTTTTTAAATAGGCCTTCAGCTGCAAGTAGTGAGATTGAAATTAAGCACTCCAGCAGAGTATAATGGTTGTATGTTGACTTGATGTCAAACACAGTCACACCTGCATTTTAAAGACCCTACCAGATGTCCTTTACGTAGCAAGCCAACATCACTTGTGAAAGAAAAAAATAGCCTTTAAAAAGCCTTTTGTAGAAAGTCTGATTGCTGTTAAATGGAACTACAAGTTTCCAAAATGTTTTTTGCAAACTCCATAAATCTCTTTATATCCACACTCTCTTACTTTCTGTTTGTCCATCTGTCTGTTATCTCCTCTTATCCTATCTGTATCTAAATCTGCATAGTAACCGCTGACTAGAGATGATGGTTATATTTTCTCACTCACCCTTTTCCTGTGCTTTCCAGAGCCTGTGTGAGCTTCCAGGCATGGCCAAAAACATTTGTCATGCTCTAGAGCTTAAGAGGACCCTTAAGATGTGGCCTGAGGTTGTCTGAGGCCCTTTCCATTCTAAGGTCCTCAGAAAGCCTCAGAATACAATTCAGTGTCTAAGAAAGCCTCAGCTTCATCCCCAGTGCCATAGGTGATGACCCGTAGCCTCTGTTTTTCAGGAGTCTAGGGAAACCCCAGACTGTCAGGTGCCCTCAGATCTGACCTGAGGCTTTCTGAGGTCCCTTCCATTCTGAGTCCCCCAGAAAGCCTCAGGACATGACTCAATGACAAAGCAGGTCTTGTCCTTGTCACCAGGACCTCTGAAAACCTCAGGCCTTGTCTGGGAAAGCATCAGGCTGCCAGGGATCCCAAGCTTGGCCTGAGGCTTCTTGAGGCTCTGATAGGTTATGCCCTATAGCCTCAGATCTTCAGATGTGGCCCTCAAAGTCTCAGAACATGACCATGTGCCAACGAAGACCTCAGCCTTGGGATGGTGTGTTTGTCTTTCCAATGTGGCTGGCAGTCAGAGGCCCTGGGGCCCCACTTGCCTGGTCCATAATCTGGCCTTGCATCTCACCAGTTAAGGGTGTAATGACTTTGAATTGAACCGTACTTAGCAGTTGAGTGATCAGTGCTGTCCTCAGTGTTGATAGTGAATGTACAAAATGAGAGAACTCCCCAAGCTGATGATGTATTCCTGCTCTTCTACCCAGCAGTTGGATTTAACAACAGAACTGTCAAGCAGTCATTGGTTGTAGGTTTGATGCTCCTGTCGGGCACCTGTTGTGTCACTAATCTGAATGTCTGGTTGTGTGGTTGCAGTTCGTGCCACAGACAAGAGGATAGCCTGTGACGAAGAGTTCTCTGACTCTGAGGATGAGGGGGAGGGTGGCAGGAGGAACGTGGCCAATCACAAGAAGGGAATGAAAAGGCCCAGAGTCGACGAAGACAAGAAAGAAGGAGATGAGAAGAAGAGTGGTGGGTACTCTCAGTGAGGAAAGCAAGTGACCGCGTTTTTCTATACCAGTAAAAATGTTCTTTATTTGTTCTCAACCCTGTCCCAGAGATAAAAGAGGAAGAGAAAGCAAAGGACAGCAGCGGTGAGAAGACTGACTCAAAAAGGTGATTAGTCTTTCTAATTAATATCTGTCCAACAACTTGACACATTTCTGTGTGCATGACAAGTGCAGACACTTGTATTTCTGTGACAGCACAGCAACTGGATGAAAGGAAATATCAAGTAGTGTCAGTCAAATCTACAAGTCCAAATAAGTGACCTGCTGCATGTAGACACAGATTTTAAAGCATTTAACTTACTATAGTGTGTAAGCTCATTGTCAGGTTTCTCTACATGTACTGGCAGTCAGTGCTGTTACAGAATTATGCTGCCCAGTTTGTTGTTTTTGGAACGACACTTGGTGAATTCCAGTTCCCCTAACTGCATCCACGTTTCCCTCACTTGTCTTTTCCTTGTGTCTTAGTCCCGCCCATGTAAGACGCAAGAAAAAATTACAAGGAGAAACAGTGAGAAGAGAGAAACCTATGAAAAATGTTTGAGTTTTTGTGTTGCTTTGGTGCAGTCAGAGCATTTCTCCAAACAGTTTGTACAAACAGCACTACACAGTAGATCACCTGTAAAAGCATGTTACTCAAAATCTTTAGTTTATCTCTCACAGTAAATACTTATGCCAAGGCAAGTTTATTTTTATAGCATATTTTGATACACGATGGCAATTCAAAGTGCCTAACACAATGCACATAGATGGATAAAATATTAAAATGCATATACAGATAAAACATTAAATATTACAATTACAGTGCATCTATCTATAAGTAATCCATGATCCACAGTGTCAAATGCTGCACTAAGATCTAATAACATCAAGATTAAGTTCCCCCAGTCATTATTCAGGCAAATGTCATTTAAAACCTTTATAAGAGTAGTTTCAGTGCTATGGTATGATTGGAAACCTGATTGAAAACTATCAAGGATATCATTTGTATGCAAGAAGTGACTGATTTGGTTAAAAACTACTTTCTCAATAATATTATTACAAAGGGAAGATTTGAGATGGGTCTGTTGTTACTTAAGACTGAGGTGTCCAGGTTTTTCTTTTTCAGAAGAGGCCCTAAAACTAGTTTTTAATGATGCTGGAAGGATGCCTGACAGGAGAGAATCAATTATAATATTCAACAAATGCCAGAGCTGAAAAGAAGCTAATTGCTGTGAATTCAGACATACAAGCTGTTTTTGTAGATGGTGATGCGGTGATGCATGGATCTAATACTAATGTCAGTGGCATCAGAATGACAAGTGTTTGTGTCATCATTTATGAACATGGTGGTCAGAATGTTAATCATGTTGTCAATATAACAGTGTTCTCTGGAAGGATTTTCATATGTCAGCTATGCCTCAGGTTTTATGGCATGTATCAATTTGAACAGTACAAAGTTTCACATTAGTCTGTGCGGGAGATTGATGGCAAAAGATTGGACATATTCACATTTACTTAGCTTTTACTGTCATTCTGATACAGAAAAGAAAGTGTTTTATAGCACAAAGTAAAAGACATTAGAAATGTAAACACAGGAAATGCCCCTTAGACAGAATCGTCAGCATTTGACTAGCCCCAGTCACGATTCAAACCGTGGTCCAAAAATGTGGGCCCTTATTTCATTTGGAACGTACTGATGTCCTTGACCTCTGTTCTCCCTTCCTATGTCTTGCCTCCCTACCCTTCCATCATGCAGCCCTACTCTTCTTCTTCTTGGCAGTTGTTCATTTTCTTGTCCATTGTCAGAAATGATAACACTGTGCTATGCTTGTCAATTGAAGGTTCATGAGATGCACCTCTGAGCTATTTTACAGTAGAGAACTGGTTCATCTTTGGTTGATCTAGCACTTCACACATTTCACTTCATTAGTGAAAGTCAAGATTGACCTGAGAGAAATTCAACAATTCAGGACACATTTAAGACAACTACAGCAGTTCATCCATTTTGCATGTTATGACATCTGCTATGAACTAATGACTGGTTGTTTTATCAGCATGACATTAGCAACCAATAAAGCAGGAAACAGACACTTGTACATAATTATTATCATGAATGAAAATTTGTTAAGAACAATGAGACATTGTTTATATGATGTGCAAAAGTGACTGGATGATGGAGGTTGAACAAGGAGTTTTGAAAATTTCATTTCTGGTCTGAGAGGATCAAAGACTGAAGAACAATAAAATAAGGGAATTGGGATTCACCCACTGTCTGAATGCCTTGTATTCCAATACTGAACAGGACTCCTTCCTACAATTCTAGCTTCATGTAGTTACTTTGAACAGATGATATTAGGTTGGAGGGTCAGTTACTGCTTGTTATTGACATCAATAGGTGTGACCACAGCCTTAGACATAGTCAGATTGTTTGTATAATTGAAACTGCAGAAGTATTTAGTTGAATGGTTCTCTTTAGTTCCCTCTAGTCTATGACAAGAGACGGTGTTATGGTCACCTTATGAAGATGCAAACTCTCTTTTTTTTGTTTTTTTTTGCCAGTGTGAAGACTGAGCAGACCAGCAGTGCCTGAATTGTTCAAGGAGCCAACTTTTCACTGAATTGCTGTCCGAAGCATTATATTTATTACAAGTCTCCATTTTCTACTTGTACATTTCTTGTTAATTGTAAGCATCTCTCTGTGTAGCATGTCAGTGGATTTCTGGAATCCACTACTTGAAATTGCTATACCATGTCCATACCCTCTGAACCATTTGACTCCAATGTGCTTGAGCTTCTGAAGGAAACATTGACTTGTTGTAGATGAACCTCAAGAGATTTCATGTTTAAATTTTTGATATTCTACATTTGTCAATAAAACTTTTTATACTACCTCCTTGGTAATGTGTTACTTGATTAGTGGCACTTGTAGCTCAGAGCTTTGTAATATTTTATGGATAGCGAAGTACACATATATCCAGATTGTCACTGATGGGTCAAAGAATCCACTAACAAAGGACATTGGGTTGACAGCTGTATTTTCTAGTGATCAAGCAGAAATAAGCAAAAGAACGTCAGACTGAATGTATTTACTGCTTCATTATTTGCAGTGTTGATGGGTTTAGAGTTGACAGAATATATGAGATCAACCAATATAGTCGTGTGTAGTAGCTCGATGTCTGCACTCAAAAGTATTAAAACAGGAACAGCCAGTAACCTTCAAGATATGCTTTATGAAATATTGATCATTGCAAAGTGACATTTACAGTGGTGTGAAAAAGTGTTTGCCCCCTTACTGATTTCTTATCTTTTTGCATGTTTGTCACACTGTAATGTTTCAGATCGTCAAACAAATTTATATATTAGTCAAAGATAACACAAGTAAACACATCATGCAGTTTTTAAATGAAGGTTTTTATTATTAAGGGAAAACAAAATCCAAAACTATAGAGCCCTGTGTGAACAAGTGTTTGCCCCCCTGTCAAAACACTGGTTTATCGCACCTGAGTTCAATTTCTCTTGCCACACCTGTTCGCAATCAAGAAATCACTTAAATAGGACCTGCCTGACAAAGTGAAGTAGACCAAAAGATCCTCAAAAGCTAGACATCATGCCGAGATCCAAAGAAATTCAAAAACAAATGAGAAAGAGAATAATGGAGCTCTATCAGTCCGGAAAAGGTTATAAAGCCATTTCTAAAGCTTGGGGACTGCAGCGAACCACAGTGAGAGCCATTATCCACAAATGGCGAAAACATGGAACAGTGGAGAACCTTCCCAGGAGTGGCCAGCCGACCAAAATTACCCCAAGAGCGCAGCGACAACTCATCCAAGAGGTCACAAAAGACCCCACAACAACATCCAAAGAACTGCAGGCCTCACTTGCCTCAGTTAAGCTGAGTGTTCATGACTCCACCATAAGAAAGAGACTGGGCAAAAATGGTTTGCATGGCAGAGTTCCAAGACGAAAACCACTGCTGAGCAAAAAGAACATAAAGGCTCGTCTCAGTTTTGCCAGAAAACATCTTGATGATCCCCAAGACTTTTGGGATAATACTCTGTGGACAGACGAGACAAAAGTTGAACTTTTTGGAAGGTGTGTGTCCCATTATGTGTGGCGTAAAAGTAACACCGCATTTCAGAAAAAGAACATCATACCAACAGTAAAATATGGTGGTGGTAGTGGGATGGTCTGGGGCTGTTTTGCTGCCTGCAGTCCCCAAGCTTTAGAAATGGCTTTATAACCTTTTCCGGACTGATAGAGCTCCATTATTCTCTTTCTCATTTGTTTTTGAATTTCTTTGGATCTCGGCATGATGTCTAGCTTTTGAGGATCTTTTGGTCTACTTCACTTTGTCAGGCAGGTCCTATTTAAGTGATTTCTTGATTGCGAACAGGTGTGGCAAGAGAAATTGAACTCAGGTGCGATAAACCAGTGTTTTGACAGGGGGGCAAACACTTGTTCACACAGGGCTCTATAGTTTTGGATTTTGTTTTCCCTTAATAATAAAAACCTTCATTTAAAAACTGCATGATGTGTTTACTTGTGTTATCTTTGACTAATATATAAATTTGTTTGACGATCTGAAACATTACAGTGTGACAAACATGCAAAAAGATAAGAAATCAGTAAGGGGGCAAACACTTTTTCACACCACTGTATGTAGGTTCCAGTTCACTTAAGCTTACCTGAAAACAAGAAAGCAGATAACTTAGCAAAAGAAGCAATCAAAGGAGAACCTGATAGAATTTATATCGATCTGTCAAAATGAGAAGGGAAGAGTGGCAACAGTATTGAGATGGAGCATCAAAGGGGCATTTACAGGATTGTAGAGGATGGGATTAGTATAAACCAGTGCTAATAGTATCATTACACACAGAGCCAGCCTGAGCCATAAACATACTAAGTGCCTGCTTAGGGCCCTGTAGCCACCAAAGAGCCCTCAAGAGAGCTTGTTTATGCATATGTGCACTGTACAGTAATGGTCATTAAGTGCATTTTTTTTTATATAAGCAGTCTGTCAGACTCTAATGTTAGGTTACACAGAAAAAGCTGTAAGAAAGTAATGTTGCAAAAAAGGACACATCACTCTCAAGCAGAGAAAAGAAATGAAAACAGGATGAGAAAAAAACTATGATAAATGCATGTTTCAATGGCTAATTACAATATTTTACTTTAGTGAAAATCCACTAAAGCAAAAAATAGGCTGTTTTATTACACTAGCAGCACAAAGACCAAGTCAATAATTTAAAGGGCCCATGGCATGCTTTTCCTTGTTTTTTGACCTATCTACAATGTTACAACAGTGAATTATCATCTTAGACATGATGTAAAGATAAAAAATGAGGTGAACATATGTTATAGTATTTCAAGATTAAACATTAAATGGCTAGAAACAAGCCTGGGGACTTGAATGTTACCTTTAGCACAAGCAGCCAAGATGAGGAGAGAGAAATACAAAACTCAAATGAACAGCCCACAAGCACTGTAATACTAGGCTGTTGTTGTTTCCCAGTATTAGTCTGCAGATAAACTTCATCTCTACTTTCGATCAAGGATGAAAGCAGACCCAAATCAAAAAATTCAAAAATTCAATCAAAGAGCAAAAACAGTCTGGCTCTTGGAGAGCGACTGGACTATACACACGACTGTACAAGGGAGGCAGTAATGCGCAACATCAAGCATGTCAATACTAACGTAAAACCTGGCAGAAGAAGAAGAAGACGATGACGACGACGACGACGAAGACAGCAACGTAGTAAGAATGACAGAGCACACGGGGGCGATGTGACCCAAGGGATACCGTAGAATTGATAGAAGTGAGCATCATCGCACGTAAATACATGTTTTTAACATATAAATCTGCTGTAAAGCCTAATATAACATAGTTCCAATACGGACACTTTATTCTGGTGAAATCGGCATAGCAAAAATTCCACCGAGGACGACTCAAATGTGATAAAATCCCACTTCTCGGTTGAAATGTTCCTAACGCCGTCTGCCAATGCTGGTTTGATGGACGTATAGCTCAGAACAGGCAGCTCTGGTTGAAGCTGAATAGTTGTGTGCTAAGTTCAACTGTCATTTGTTTAAGGTGTGCCGAATTGAAACGTATCTACCAATTATTTCCAGGTGTCTGTACATGAGGTTAAAGCAGGAATATTACTTTATTGGTTACTTTAATTGTCGAGCTTTTAAATTGACTATGTTTGCAGAGGACGTATGAAAAGCTCAGAAGAAATGCTTCAGGTCAGAGACGTGCACTGAGAGGTAAGATAACCATTTAAAAACGCTAACAGCAGACAGACAGACAGACAGCAACAGAGATTCCTGCGTTAGCTTGGAGGCCCCAGAGGGTCAAACTAGTGCACAATGAGTTCAGAGACTGCTTTCAGACTGCTTCTGATGGGGAACATTTCAAACTTTCACCTTCCTTTTTTTGAGTAGGAACATCACTTTCAGTTTTGATTGTTGATTTGAAAACAGACTGATACTAGCTCGAGTAGACACACTATGGTTTTAAGCCTTTAACTTGCTGTTTATTGTATGCTGACCAATTCAAGATATAGATTAACTCATTTAGAACTTGTTTTTTTTTTTTAAACATGTTTATCTTAGTTAATTGGGGAACATTTCTACCATGTTAAGGTAACATATCTGCTCTGTCTTGTAACCATTATGCCCAGTGGTAATCATTGGTCTTGATGTGTTGCTCAACATTAGAGTGAATGTTATCTTCTTCCAGTGAAACCTCTGTAAATATCTGGCTGTCAGATTAACTGTACACTGAGTCGCGACTGGCACAGTGCACATGTCAACAGATGAGAAGCTGGTGTTAAAATGCAGTCACATTTTTGCCCTGCAAATATTTGCTCTTTTCTGTTCATTTCAACTGAGACCTGTAAGATGGGGCAAATGCAGGCATGTTTCCTGTTTTGGGGTCGATCTCCAGATGGCTCCAGCAGTCTTGCAGGTCAGAGTTCATCTTTGTCCAACTCTGACTGAGCAGCTGTGCACAGCCAGCCAAATCAGTCACCTGTGAGCTGTGTTTGTGAATGGATATATGGTGTGCTGTCACCTTGTTTTTGTAGGATTTTTTGCAGAAAAAACCATATCAGGTACAAAATAATATTCCAAGCAGGGTATTTTTACTCATCTTCAAACCTGTCCAGATGAGGTTTTTAATGCTCTGGCATATGGTTTTTGCAGTCAAGATTTCTGCCAGTGAAGTGTCAGCAGATTTTGCCCCAAGAGGAAAACCAGGGCTATAGTGACATGGTTTTCTTGGAGCCTGGTCCTCAGCCACATTCAGCATCTTTGGGATGAACTGGAATGGAAAACCTGAATCCAAAGGAGTGGAAGCTGTTACAGATACATTTTGGGGGTCTATATACTTTATGTAATGTAGTGTAGGTTGCAATCCAACCTTTTGCCCTGCCTTTTTTATTTTGACACATTTGATTGCATGAGCCAAAATGAATATTTTATACCCTGGATTTTATCTTGAAGTTGCAAGAGCCGCTGCAGGACAAATAAACCGCATAGCCTGGTAAATCAAGTGTGAAACAGACAAATAATGACAGATGCAGCTCAAGTTTTATTCACATTTATTTTTGCTTTTAGTGTGCTCACAGAAAATTAGAACACCTGAAGCAGAGGAGTTTAATAGCATATTTGTAAGCAAAGTTACATTCCATTTCTAAACTGGTCAAAGCTTTTCCAGTATTTACAAAAGAAAAGAGAGAAAAACAAGATGCTACACAAACATTTGCATCTGATAGATTCCTTAAATTTTGTCAAAGACCACTGAAAAAGCATCGCCTGCTGTAATCCAAAACATACCACAGTATATAAACAGTTAACCATCGGACTTGTCACAGCTTTCATCTTGAGTTCAAAATTGCTTATGAAGGTAGTCCTGGATGATTTTTTGTGTATATATATGTGTGTGTATATTATCTTACAAAAATGAGCGGGTGGAAAAAAGACCTGCAAACTTCATGTGCTTCTGGAGATCAAGATTTCATTTTGTACAATAATCACAGTTAAAAACACCCCGCCTATACATACTTACATTTTTATTAAGGTCATAAAACCAACAATAAACAATAAAGCCTATACAACTTTTATTTCTACTGAGTCACTGACTGGTACAGTTAATGAGAAGTGAAACGCTCCTATGAGTTTATACGACTTCCTAAAAACCTAACTCTGGGATTCTCTTGTTGCTTTGTAAAAATGACTTAGTGTTGTAAACCGTACGTGGTCTGTGTGTGTGTATAGCTGTTGGCCTTATATTCTCATACACTACCCTTACCCCCCCCCCTCATTTACAGCTCTGGCAATCTCCTTCATACCATGGGCACGTCCATACTATTTTGTTTACAATTTGTATAAAAATTTTAAAAGAACAACAAATTAATACTGATGAAAAAATATATGGCAGAGTGTGGATGTATTTAATCTGGTGTACATATTGAAGCCACCCACCTCCCTAGCCCATTAGAATGGAAGCAACAGTGGACCAAGATGGGTTTTGTATAAGGGGAAATGGAAACCAAAAAAAAAATAAAAAAAATAAAAAGCCTTAAAATCCCTGGATGTAGACAAGTTCTTCAAAGCCACGACCTGGCGTCACTCCAACATACAAACAGGAAAATGTTCTTTGATTATCTTTTTTCCTCCTTTAAAAATTTTTGCCATTCTCCAGACTTATTCAGTGGCCTCGGCAGCTGCAGCTCGCAGCCCCCCTGGTGGGGCTGGGGTGGACTCCTCTGTTTTAGGCACCTCCTGGGCCGCAGGCTCAGCCGGCTTCTCTTCTGCCTTTGGCTCCTCTGCAAGCACGGCCTCCTTGGCCTCCTCAGCAGGCTTCTCTTCTGGTGCTGCTGCCGTCTCTGGCTTTGCCTCTACCTCCTCAGTCTGCTCTGCAGCAGGCTTGGCCTCCCCCTCAGCAGGCTTGGCCTCCTCACTAGCAGCTGCTACTTCCTCTGTTCCCTCAGCCTCGGCCTCCTCAGTGGATGCTACCGCAGCGGCGGGCGCCGCCTCATTCTCAGCCCCTTCTCCTGTCTCCTTTTTGGTCTTCTTAAAGGAAAAGCCACTGAGCTTGAATGACTTCTTGAAGGAGAATTTTTTCTTCTTCTTCTTGGGGGTCTCATTGCTGGCGGAGGGTGTTGCGCTGTCCTCAGCCTTCCCTTCCTCTCCCTCAGCAGGAGCAGGAGATGCTGCCTCTACCTTCTCCCCATCTGCAGCCTCAGTCTTCTCAGCAGGGACAGCCTCGGTCTTCTCAGCCTCTTCCTTGGGGCCCTCCTCAGCTGTGGCGCTACCATTGGCCTGCACCTCCTCTTTGCTGTTCTCGGCTGATGCAGGAGAGGCATCTCCATTGGCTTTAACATAGCCGTTTTCCTAAAAAGACAAATGAGCTGTTAATATCATGTACAGAGCGGTTTGAAGGCTCAGGCTGCACAGTGCCACCGATTGACACCAGGGGCAGCAGACAGCACCACATCAGCAGCGACAAATCAGACTCCCGTTGCAGGAGGGACTGTGCTTTAAGGCTTCCAGAGCAAACTGCCACTGAACATGGAAATAATCACACGCACAACAGTAGTCACGCCTTAGACGGTAAAATGCTACATGCTTCCATGTCTTTTTGCTCTGGATTTCTTTCACATCCTGAGCAAGATAAGCGCAGTGCCCCGTGTGGATCGCCAGGGGTCAGTGCACGGCCGCTTTAACAGCGGGCCACCAAAACAAAGCAGCTGCTTATTAAAACAGCAGATGGTCATTAGTGTTAGTCCCAGAAAGCAGAGTTCGGATGCATTTTCTAAAAACGCAGAAAAATCTAAACGAGGTTCGACATTTTTAATCGTCCTAAATCCAAACAGGAGCAGCGCAAGGCTCCCTCTCCCTGGGGGACGCACCACTGTCTCCCAGCCTCCGTCTCCCCTCCAGTGCGATAAAAGGCTGCTATCTCTGCCTTCTAGTCGAGCATCTGTAACAAAAGGCGTGGTGCTCCGAGCACATACCGCCTTTGTTGGCGTTCTGCACGTCGTCTTATTTAACTTCTATATTGTGGTTAAGAGGGGACTTCATTCAAAGCAAAAGCAATAAGCTTAAATTTATTTTTGCAGGAAATTCACTAATTGACCATTAAACACGCGTTTTCAGTCAGATCCCACATTTAAGTGATTTTTCAACAAAACATTCAACCAAAACACCCGTTTCTCCCAGAAATAAAAGCTTGTGTTAATTTTCCTGTAAATATCCGCTCGGTTATCAGTAAACAGTGGAAATATCAGTTGATCAACTGTTGCTCATTAAGTATAATTTGAGTTAAAAGAGAATAAGTATTTCCATCCTGTTTCAGTTAACACCGTTGATCGCCATTCAGTCTATCCACAGTTACGCACGGATTGCGCCCTCAGAGGGGAGCCCCCCTCCAGAACAACACAGTACCCCATCATGGATGAAAAGAGCTGGATGTTAAAATATCATTTACCTGTCCGTTGGTCTTGCTGGGTGTAGCAGCAGCCTCTCCGGGCCTTTCAGCCACGGTTTCAGCCTTTCCAGCTGCCTTGGACGATTGCGCTCCCATGCTTTTCGCTCCAACAAAGAAACTCAACCGATCCAAAAAACGAACAAAGACCCACAAGTCTCTTTGTTGAAAAGCAAAACTCTTCGTTGCTGTCACCGTCTCTGTCTCTCTGTACAAAGAAAAAGTTCACAGATAAAATTTAAAACAAAATCCCGATAGAATGATGAGGATTTTTCAAAATAGCTGGGGAAAAGCTGACAGGTGATTAGAAGTAATAAAATCCCAGGTCGGTGGCCGTGTCGCTGTAGACAGGCTGCAAAATGGAGAAATGTCCCTTGTTGCTAGTAAGATGCGGAGTCCAACGCCCAAATGCAGAGATGAATGGGCGCTCCGAGCGATGACGACACCGCATTGAGATTCAGCCAATCACAACCTCCTCTCGGACAATGGGCGGGGTTTGGGAAAGGGAGCGAACAATAGATTGTAACGCTGCGTTCAAGGTTTGTAAGAATAATGACAATTAAATGGGCAACGTTTAACTAAATAAGTAGTATGGCTTCCTATCAGACTACCTGCAATTGTTTTCATCCCCCCCCCCCCCAAAATAAAATGTTTAATAAATGAAACTCAACTAGTGTCGTCTGATCAGCTTCCTTGAGTTGAATTTAAAAGATCTATATGTATTTTTATGCATTACAAGCTAATAATCCAAAATTAGAAACACTATTTCCCTGGACACTGGGCATTCAAAACTCAAACATTTCTTTTTAGTTGAAGTTTTTCTCTTGTTGTAATTCATTAATTGTATGTGGAAAATACTTTGTTATAATTGTAACAAATAGATTACATGTGAATATGTGACAGAACCCGGTGTAGATTTAAATAGACAAAAATAATTTAAGTTATCAAAATAATCCTGAGGACCAACACAAATATACCCGAAGATAATTCAGTCAGATCCACAGTGCTGTGGACACAAAAACAAAAAGCCAAACAGAGAGAACATCAACACTGGCAGTAACAATGGTATGTCAACAATTAATTAACTGACCACAGAGTGTGATACTGTCTGCCTTCACTTTAAGTATCACTTGCTTTAAAATGTGATCATTAAAATGTTTTTGAAAACTAGTTCAGAGTGAGGTATGGTAAAGCACTGGAAGTTGCTACAGTTTCTGCTAATAGATGGTGATGAGGTTTGGTTGGTTTCAGGAACTCTGAATAAGCAGCACTTGAACAAACCCCTATTGTGTCATTGTGTGTAGAGGCTTGGGGGGGGTGGGAGTGTACTCTGCGGAGTCTTGTTGATGACCATGTGATGTGCCCCATGGGGAAGGTTGTGAGTGTTTAAACAGGTCCCTCAGCTGACATTTGCAATGCAAATCCATCACAGGCAGAGTCGGCTGTCCTTAGCCACACTGAGAGAAACTGGGCCAACACAGGTGGTTTAGCAGCAGCAGTGGTGGGCTGCACTCTGCTGTTTTTAAATGTTACCAAGCATGACAAAAAAAATGGCGGTGCATATATACGCAGCAGCTCGGGGCTCTCGGCTTTTTGTTTTTTATTGTTGTTTTTGTTCGTGATTTTGTGGTCACCACAGCTTTCTGAAGCCACCATCCAGTATGGAAGAGCTGAACATTTGTACAATTTTTGTGTTATTTATGTAAATAATGTCTTTTAAGCTGAGAGCTGCCGGAAGAAATTTCATTGTGACAATGATAATAAAGATTCTTGAATCTTGAACATAATGAAAAACAGCACCGCTGGGCTGCTCTGTGCTGAGATGTAAACTACAGTCCTTCACTTTATTTTAATGACCTCCCAAATGAATATCTGACAGTATAATCCCATCCACCCCCCACCTTCTGGAACTCTCAGCCACTGTCTTCAGTACAGTCCATTCACACATACGTATTCAGAAAGCTGGGACCGTGATTGTTGCTATTCATTGTGAGCGAGATCTGGTTTTGCAGCACTGCACCTCTGCTGAGCTTGAAGGCTCAAACAGCACCCAGCTACACTACGTGGACAATCCGAGAAAGGCTCAACTTTATGCAAGTATCCTCTGATGAGGTGTAAACTACAGCCAGGTGAGGCCATCAGAAACCAAAGCACATAGCTGTTTACTGCCCCGCTTCTCTACATGGAGGAATTTTAAACAAGATGGAGGAAAAGATGGCCGGTGCTGTTTCCATCTTAAAAGGAAATACCGTAAAAGATAGATGATGTGTGGAAACAAATGGCTGACATTATTGGTGTCCAGTGGTGACAGACAGGTCAGAAAACCAGTGTCCAGTTATAGCAGAGTATGTTGTTCAACACAGTTTAATATCTTTGGACCGCTGTTGATACAAAACAAACAATCGGAATTGCCTTGGACCAGTTGTCTAGAAGTAATCTGATCAGATTTCAGTCATCAGATTGGATCTTCTTGAAAATGGGTTCTTCAAAAGAGCGAAAAAATGGATACTGAAATTGGTTTACATTGGTTGCGATCTGGATCAAACTTAGTATTTTTCAAAACTTTATAGTAAGAATCCAAAAAATTCTGATCCCAACAGAGAGGTGGTTTCAGGCTGGAGTTCAGGAACAAAATGCAATAAAACTTTAAAACTGGTAAAAAAAAATCATTTGTATCACTCAGTATAGACATTTGTTAACATTTTGCACTTCATTTGCCTAAGCTATACAGTAATAGAGTAAATAAAATAGACACTAGGCTACCTATTAAGCCTTTCAGTATAGTAAAACAAAACCAGAACTTCAAAGAGTGGGTCTCTCCACAAATGAAGAGCTGAGTGTTTTTTTGTTGTTGTTGTTGTTTTAATTTTGTAAACTATTGGACATATAGCCTTTTTGTGATTCAAAACATTCTAGATATCCACAAATTTGTAAATAATGTGTATTCACCTGCGCAGGGCTGAGCGCAGGTGGAGAAAAGATAAATTACAGGTATCACTTCAGATACTAAGAGACTCTTGGCATCGTTATCAAACAATTGTGAAAAATCTTAAGAGAAATTATTTCTCTAACATCATTCAGTTGAACTGTCATAAGCCTCGTGTTCTGTTTAAGGTTATTGATTCTGTTCTGAATGTTCCTCGGGTTGCCTGTGTTGAGTCCTCCTCTGTCCTTTGTCAAAAATTTTTACATTTCTTCAATGGCAAGGTTCTTTCTACTAGAGTTCAAATTCTAGCTCCTGTTTATGATTTTCTCTGTTTCTCACCCCTGCCCTGCTATTTTTGATCAGTTTGAGTGTGTGTCTCTGTCCAGTTGCCAGGAGATTGTTGGGCGTTTTAATCCCTCTGGCTCTCCAAGTGATGCTATTCCTCCTCGACTTTTAAAGGTTTTTCCGGCTGTGGGGCCTTTTGTCCTTTCTATTATTAGTAGTAGCTTGTCCTCTGGGCTGGTCCCAATGAATTTTAAACATGCGGTGGTGCAGCCATTGATTAAGAAACCAGGTCTGGATCTTACAGTGCTTGCTAATTTTTGGCCTATTTCTAATCTGCCATTTCTTTTCAAGGTTCTAGAGAGCATAGTTTACACTCACTTACTGGCTTTTTTGGAAAGGCATAATATTCTCGAGCTTTTTCAGTCAGGGTTTAAAACCCTGCACAGTACTGAATCTGCTTTGGTGAAAGTTTTAAATGATATTTTTCTTGCCACCGACTCAGGGAACTGTGTTGTCCTAGTGCTCCTTGATTTAACCGCTGCTTTTGATACAGTAGTGTTTCCAGCATAAATCATTTCACACGGACAAAATAAAATCACACTGCAGGAGTTACAGGTTATATATTTCTCAGTTGGTTTCCTAAATATTGTTGAAGTTACTTTCCGAGGTGTCTTACACAATGTCACATCTAAATAATTGATTAGAATCTTGACTCTTTTCCATACTGAAGGATATACTGTCCAGTCTTGTATTTAAATAAGATAATCTCATCCAATAATGTTTCTGTACCCTTCCAAACGAGGAGGCAATCAGCCACAAAAATCTAACATAGTAATTTAGGTATTTCCTGTGTATATTGTTAGTCATGAAATCATGTTCAAATTTACCCATAAAAAGACAACACAGGCTGACAGTGATCCCATTGCTGAACCATTGCTAGTCATAATAATCATTACTGAACAAGAAATAGCTTTTGGTAAGAAATGATATTCATTAGGTGTATTCATTTCAGCTCACTGGTCAATTCCAGCTGTGGCACACATCTGTGTATAATGATATGACAAAGTAACAAGCCAATCCTGATCAACTATACTTTGGAAGGAGTTTATCTTAATTTTAAAAAATCTAATGTGTCTTTAAAGGATACTGCTAAAAAAAATAAAGGGAACACGACATAAGACATCCTAGATCTGAATGAATGAAATCTTCTTATTAAATACCTTGTTCATTACATAGTTGAATGTCTTATTTTCCCTTGTGTTCCCTTTATTTTTTGAGCAGTGTATAATGGTAAATTCTTACCTAGAGGCTGAATATGAAAGTCTACAAACTTTGCTATATTTTTTGCTAATGAATTCATGCCTGGTACAATTTCACATAGTGGGGGATCCACAATGGATTTATGTAACTTATTAAATTAACCTTAACCTTAACCTAACATTAAACCAAGTTGTCACCCTAAACTTCAGTGATTTACATGATGGGGACCACACCTGCAGTGTGAATGTGTTTCCGTCCCCAGGCACCCACACACATTTCGTATATAGCTCCATGTTATCTTTTTGTGGCTTGTGTTTGTTGTACTCATATAGGATTGACTGTATTGCTTGTAAGTTGATGCCTTAGATTAACATAAACCTTGTTATACAGGGTTATTCAAAAAGAATGCACCAATTTCATTACGCAATATTTTATTAAGGAAAAGTAATACAAACCTGCAGCCAAGTCACAACCAGCCAAGTCACAATCAACTTTTATTTCCTGTCTTACAAGTGTTCAATGTGGCCACCACCTGCAGCACGGGCAACATCAATGCGATAAGAGAATTCCTCCCAGGCGTGTATTAGCATATCACAATCCACTGAGTTGATCGCCGTTGTTGTGGCCACATTGAATGAACACTTGTAGGACAGGAAATAAAAGTTGATTGTGAGTAGAATACTTGTGACTTGGCTGGAGTTTTGTATTACTTTTCCTTAATAAAATATTGCATAATGAAATCAGTTCATTCTTTTTGAATAACCCTGTATATTTTGTTTGGGTTGGATGAGGGGTCTGACTATATAAAAGAAACTGAATGTTTTGTTTACATCAAAAATGGCAGATGAGGCTACCGACTAAGTTCTCCTGATTATTCAAAAAGGAATGTCTTAAGTCTAATCTCAATGGTAGAGATGGTGTCTGCCTCCTGAACTGAGACTAGGAGCTGGTT